AGACGCTGCATACAGATCGTTTACAATAGTATTCAATAAAAGTTAAGTTATTTGGCAAAGAAAATTGATGGGTTATTTCTACTATTGACTTAATTACGGTGAAAAATGTCGGTTTTCGTAGGACGAAGACGATCATGTTACTTTTCTTTGAAAGTCCCATCCATCGCGTACTCTTAGTATCAAAAGTATGAACAATAATTTTTGTTCTACTGGTAGTAGACATGGTACATGGGTCACATGGATACGTAATCTTTGCTGCGAAGTATTATTCAATAGTAACTGCGAAGGTTGAAAGGTTAGACGTTTACAATCTATCCGTTTTACAATCTATGTATGTATGTAATTGTTACTTCGAACTCATGTCTCAAGTTTGTGACCTTAAGAATTCACGTTGTGATATCCATGGGCTCCAGTGACCACTTAACAACAGGAGGGTCATAAACGCATTCACCTATTTAAGCAATAAAAGAAAATAAAGATCAACCAGCAATTATTTCCGGTTATATTTTCCAAGTATTTTCCTGTAGATAATACGTAGCAAAAGAGACAGTATGAAGCAAAGCGCAACTATAAATTTTCAGAGACATGTAAGCTAAGAGACGGCTGGTCCGTTTAATTATCCGCATTCCGGGTGGACAAATTGTTCGGTGGACCTCGTTCCCGGATATTAATTTCAATACATTGTCTTTACCCGGGAAGCTGCAGCGATTATTTTGAGAGTGGCCCAAACGTTGCTGTCTGAGCGAAAATATTGGATACAAAATTCCTAGGTTTATCGAATTAACTTTATCATCGCTGTGATTTAAATATTTATTTCACCAAAGTCTCATCAACAACGCGAATAAGTGCCAAAAATAAAACCACTATTTTATTATTCATTAGTGTTCCTGATAGCGGCTCAATGTTTTATGTACTTATCAATTGGTATTAAGACGTTAATATTCGCGCTTCAAGCAAGGTAAGCTGAAGCATATATCGAATTAACTTTATCATCGCTGTGATTTAAATATTTATATCACCAAAGTCTCATCAACAACTCGAATAAGTGCCAAAAATAAAACCACTATTTTATTATTCATTAGTGTTCCTGATAGCGGCTCAATGTTTTATGTACTTATCAATTGGTATTAAGACAGTAATATTCGCGCTTCAAGCAAGGTAAGCTGAAACATATATCGAATTAACTTTATCATCGCTGCGATTTAAATATTTATATCACCAAAGTCTCATCAACAACTCGAATAAGTGCCAAAAATAAAACCACTATTTTATTATTCATTAGCGTTCCTGATAGCGGCTCAATGTTTTATGTACTTATCAATTGGTATTAAGACAGTAATATTCGCGCTTCAAGCAAGGTAAGCTGAAACATATATCGAATTAACTTTATCATCGCTGCGATTTAAATATTTATATCACCAAAGTCTCATCAACAACTCGAATAAGTGCCAAAAATAAAACCACTATTTTATTATTCATTAGTGTTCCTGATAGCGGCTCAATGTTTTATGTACTTATCAATTGGTATTTAGACGTTAATATTCGCGCTTCAAGCAAGGTAAGCTGAAACATATATAGAATTTTCTTTATGATTGCTGTGATTTAAATATTTATATCACCAAAGTTTCATCAACAACGCGAATAAGTGCCAAAACTAAAACCACTATTTTATTATTCATTAGTGTTCCTGATAGCGGCTCAATATTTTATGTACATATCAATTGGTATTAAGACGTTAATATTCGCGCTTCAAGCAAGGTAAGCTGAAACATATATCGAATTATCTTTATCATCGCTGTGATTTAAATATTTATATCACCAAAGTCTCATCAACAACGCGATGAAGTGCCAAAAATAAAACCACTATTTTATTATTCATTAGTGTTCCTGATAGCGGCTCAATGTTTTATGTACTTATCAAATAGTATTAAGACGTTAATATTCGCGCTTCAAGCAAGGTAAGCTGAAACATATACCAGCCTTACGAGGCCGTTACAGTCGGATCGGCGTACTGACAAACGATCCTTGGGACTCACGGTACGCGAAATCGTGAACTCCAGCAAGCCATACGACCCCGTCGAGATATGTTTTAGATAAAGATTATTTATACAGTGTCTTATTTTACAAATCCAATTTCCGTGTGAATACACGGGCCGGTTGTAAATAACGCAGACAAAGCTTCGCCTGAATCGGGCGTTGTTCGTTCGATACATTATGCAGACCACGCTCCGTTGCGCCGAGCAATGAGTTTTGTAAATACGCACGCTGAACGATGCTCTTTGTAGTTTATTAATCTTTTTAGTGAAACGTAATTGTTTCATTTGAATTAGTAAATGAAGGTTATCGAGAAGGTTATAAGAACGATCGTCATCATCAGCCTTCTACGGTGAAGGAATAACGTCGTGTAATAAAAATCAAAACCCGCAAAATTATAATTTGCGTAATTACTGGTGGTAGGACCTCTTGTGAGTCCGCGCGGCTAGGTACCACCGCCCTGCCTATTTCTGCCGTGAAGCAGTAATCCGTTTCGGTTTGAAGGGCGGGGCAGCCGCTGTAACTATACTTGAGACTTTAGAGCTTATATCTCAAGGTGGGTGGCGCATTTACGTTGTAGATGTCTATGGGCTCCAGTAACCACTGATTCCAGGTGGGCTGTGAGCTCGTCCACCCATCTAAGCAATAATAAAAGCCTGTATTTTTCCACTGCTGGATGTAGGACTCTCCCATAGTCCGCCACAATGAATGATCCTCCGCCTTCCGCATCCAATCTTTCCCAGCATATCGCCGCAAGTCATCGGTCCACCGGGCAGGGGGACGCCCAACGCTGCGCTTACCGGTACGTGGTCTCTCCAGTCCCAAATATATTAAGTTCTAGCTGTACCCGTCCGCTTCGCTGGGCATTTAAAATTAACATTATTATTTCTCACCCCCACAAAGATTCTCATCATTAATGCCCCCGCAACTGGTGTAGGGAATCCAACACTTATATAAATATTAGCCTATCCATTAAGTACATGTATTTTCTACATGGGGCCCAAATTTCAATCGGATGCACGGTCCAGTAGTTATAACGGAACATCCATAAAAACCACTGTAGATTTATATATTAGTATAGATTAAGAACGTGCAACCAAATAGCCAAGCACGTGAGTTTGAGTTTATTTACGTTATATTAAGACATAATACACGTTTGGTTCACAAAGAAAATATTCAAACAAAAGAAATTAATGAATAAACTAAATTATTGGTTAGCGTCTAAGAAAACATTTTGTTTCCAGCAAACAAACCTAATTCATTTATTTCACCCCGACGGCCGTTAGCGTTATCGGATACACGTTTTCGGCTCCATTAATTTCGAAAAATCTATCGATATCTTAACTCTGTGCCATCTGATGTTCCACCCTAGCGATATAAAAAAAAAACACACGACGTGACGCCGAATTCTTATCCGAACAAAAAAATAATGCGGATAAGTTCTTGTAGCATCGTTGCGGCGGGCGCTATAACAACCCGCAAAACAAGACCGTGCACTTCTTATCGTGACAGTCGAAAGGCACTTTTTCATTTTCCTTTTTGTTCCGGGCCGGTCGCGTTTTTTGCTAGTGCACGGCTGTCTCTGAGGGCGCCCGGCATAGTGGAAAAGTCACGTGATTTAGAGACGACAAAAATGCTATATTCGTAATGTTACATGTGTGAACGTTACTTGTGGGTTTGCGTGACATATTTTCTTAGTGTCGAGGATGATAAATGGGTAGATAAATCACGAAGAAAGCGAAATTTTCTTTTTAAAAGTTTTATTTCTACGTATTCGCGGAACTTTTGTGTTTATGTCTGACACAGAGTCATTTATTTCGTTTATATATTTGCCTAACTCAATTTACTTCGATGACAAAGTGGGTAAATTCCATATATAGACGGAATGGTTCGGAATTTTTTATTTATGAATATTTTATTACGTATTTTAGAATATTTATTTTAATATTTTTCCTTTACGTTTCATCATTCTGTTACCTATTTGTGTTCAGTGAGCGTAATACGGTTATAAATTTGAAAAGCTATGCGAAATTTTACAAGAGTTTGCCAATTAATATTTTTGGTTTCTGTGTAGTGTGGTCTTGCTTAAATCATAGTCCTGTACACTAAATATAGATTAATTTTAGTCAAGTCAATGTATACAAATACCAATGTGCCAACAAGTTTCTTTTTTCATCGTGAATGGCTTTTGCTCAGGTTTTTTTTTAATTGCCCTTGTTGGCAGACAATCATACGGCCCACCTGATTGTGAGCGGTTACCATCGCTTATGGACGTCAGCAATGCTCAGCCGCTGCCTAAAATTTATCATGTTATATAATTTCTTTCAGGCATCGTACATACAACATTTTTCAAATACCTACATCAAGTCTTACATAGCGTCGTGCTCGTTAAACTCAAGCACTGTTTGCATTTACATTTACCAAGTACCATTTAAGAGGGTGAATATGAAAGAAAAAAAAAAGACTCTTTGAAAGGGTGGTGTACCAAAAACTCTAATTTCCGCCGGCGCCACACCTAAAGTGCTTTCCGATTCAAGTTCGGTCGTTCGCCCTTAATGACAATGCCTTCATAAGTTGAAAGTTAGAATATTCATGAAGTTTCAATTAAAAATAATTTTTCACAAGGACAAAAGGGCTAACAGATTTGAGTGACTGAAAATTTTGCCAGGCATTAAATGAATATATGCAACTTCTTACTTGTCAGCTGTTATATATTTATCTACGAGTATATTAGTTACCACAGAAATTTTCAAACTAAATATAACAGTGATATAAATCTCTTTAATCAAATTTGATATTATTAAAAAAAACCGCGGAATTGTCCCGGTTTGTCAAAAATTTGTCACACAATATCGAATGTAATCATCGATCCACGTTGATATTGTTATTTTATCAGTAATAAATAATAACAGATTTCTTGTTTGCAAAATTCAATTCGAGACCTTTACTAGGAATATATTCTGACCATGTATCGTAATGCATACCAACGAGGGATGCTGACCATATTTTTTAGCGTCGGTTCTAAGCCTTTGGAAATATGGGACACACATACTCAAGACGGTTATATTACACGGTTTTTAGATCAAGACATAAAGTCTATGGTATTAGAAATACTCGGAACTAATGTAAGTACAACGTACATGACGTGCCCTAAAGGAAAAACTGTTTTAGGAATAACTATGCCTTTTCTAGTCATGATAGTCAAGAACTTGAAAAAGTACTTTAGTTTTGAAGTTACCATCCTTGATGAGACTGGAACACGAAGACGATTTCGTGTTTCAAACTTCCAAAGTACTACGCAGATTTTACCACTGTGCACCGTTATGCCAATAGGACTATCAGAAGGCTGGAATCAAATACAATTCAATTTAGCAGAATTCACCAGACGAGCTTACAACAAGCAATTTGTGGAAGTGCAAAAACTCAAAATTAATGCGAATATTCGGCTCAGGAGGATTTATTTTACTGAACGACTCGTACCAGAGGATCAATTACCACCAGAATATAAGTTGTATTTTCCTTTAGCAAAATCAGCTAAAGCAAAGAAAGGATCAGTAGAGCATGTTAAGGAAAACGTTAAACCATCTACATCCTTGCAAATTGCTGTAGAAACACCAATTGAAGAGAAGAAGGGTAGCAAAGTTGACATAACCAAACAAGGTTCTAAGGCTTCATTACGTTCTCTCAGGAGATCTACGTCGCATGAGGTGAGAATATCACAAGAGAAGATTCAGGAGGTTCCTGAAGAAAATGTATCTGTTTCAAAACACTCTTCAGAACGAACTGAGTCGCAAACGGTAGTTAAAAGTGGAACAGATGTATTTGATAAGGACGAAGCCAGTATAACAGGGAAAGAAAATATAAATAATGAAAAATCAAGTGATAATGTGGAAATTACGGAAATCATGCCAAAAAAGTCAGAAGAATCGAATCAGGAACGTGTTGAGGTAACAGAGGAAATACAGGCTACTGAGGAAATACAAGTAGCTGAGGAAACACAAGTAACTGAGGAAATACAAGTAGCTGAGGAAACACAAGTAACTGAGAAAACACAAGTAACTGAGGAAACACAGGTTGCCGATGCAGCCACAGATAGTACTGCTCCACCAGATGTTGTTCAATAGGTAGTTTAATTATTATATGAGTGTTGGATTAGTGAATAATATTTATTAATAGGTTTTCGAAATAAAATAATATTATAATAAATACTTGCAAAATTTTTTTTAATAGTATTTTTGCATTAGCTGGATACGGTATGACAAAATTTCAAACACATGAATATTCGATTTAGGACAGTGATAAGACTATTATAAAAATATTGATTTCGTTAAATATACGAGTATGCACTATAACTTAGACGCAGCTTCGTTCTTGTTCATGTAGAGAAAATAACCTATTTATCTACATCAGGAATAGTGTTATTTTCAATGAAAGGTGTGCATGCAAAAAATCATGATGAACGATTTAGTAGTAAGAACCTGAAAGGGTAATAAGTAAATTCACTTGCACTTTAATACTTTGGTTAGAATAACAAAAAAACTTACCTTTTTACAATAAATGTTTATGGTCTTACTATTATAACAATTGACAACGTCATAAGGATTTGATATTTCAAAACTATTAGCCCCACAGTTACGAAAAATGTTCAAAAACACTTACCAAAATGGATTGCTGTCAATATTCTACAGTTGCGGATCGAACCCTCTGGCTTTATGGGATATGGAAGTGAAAAATGGCCATATAAAAAGGCTGACTGATAACGAAGTGAATTCAGTAGTCTTGGAGATCGTGAGTACAAATGTAGCGACTACTTTCATAAGATGTCCAAGGAATGATCAAGTCTTAGGTATTAAATTACCATTTTTAGTCATGATAATCAAGAATTTAAAAAGGTACTTTTCATTTGAGATTACGATTTTAGATGACAAAAATATGAGAAGAAGGTTCCGAATCTCCAATTTTCAGTCGACAACTAAAATAAAACCTTTCTGTACCACCATGCCGATTGGCCTATCCGGAGGTTGGAATCAGATTCAATTTAATTTATCTGATTTTACAAGGAGAGCTTACGGAACTCAATTCCTAGAGACATTGCGAGTCCAAATTCATGCTAATGCAAGATTGAGAAGAATATACTTTAGTGAAAGGCTTTATACCGAAGAAGAATTACCACAAGATTATAAGTTGTATTTACCATTGGAAAGGAAGCAAAAAAAGGAAAAACCCGAAAAAAAGGAAAAAGAAGTTACTTCCAAGGCTCCTAAGCTTCGAACTGAGGTGCCCATTGAAAATAAAGTTGAGGCCATTCAAGAGGAAGTTCCGAGCAAACATAGTACTGCCGGAACAGTCACTCCTGCTGTTACAGAGGCAGGAGATGAGCAGCCAATAGATGTCCAGTTAATTGATGAAACTAATATCGTAGTCGCAGACGATAACCCACAAGAAGCTGAAGATGTCCTAGAAACAGAACCCCCAGTTGCCGAAGAATGATTATTTTTATTGTATTATTGTTTGTTAGTTCTGTTTAATTTTTGTGATTATGTACTTATATAAAATCGGTTATTGGAATATTATAAAATGAAGTTTGATTCAACACGCTCGAGTATTTTTTTTCGGTAATACGTTTTTCATTACGTGCTTCAAATTTGTGGTGGTGATTGGTAATTGGTGATTCCTCTTAGTTCAGTATTATTTGAATAACTTGGCTTACCTGCAACAAAAAAATGTATATTTGTTTAGTGATGTCATAAATAATAGTTAAAGATTAATACAATAGGTAGAACTCGGTTTTAAAATATTGTATTTTATTCCAATTTCTTATTGGGCTCTGGGTAATCATTATGAGATTAAAAAGCACTAAATTAATTTTAAATCACTCACTATGTAAAACTATGAAAATGTTATGAAGTAACCGGGACTATTGTATGCTAAATTGAATATAAAACCGTAAAACGACTGTCAGGAGGCGAATTCCCAAAAAATATCTCGGCGCGACCTTTACAACGAGAAAAATAAGGTCGAACTGGGTTTTAAATATGCAAACATTCATACGTACTGACCTTTTCCCGGTCTAAGTTTTCAACGAAATGAAATTGTGAGCAAAAGAAAAAGAACTGCAGAGAACTATTATGAAAGGAATCGGCGAAAGAGCAACCTTTAATCATTTATGTATTATAGAATGAGAAACATTGAAATGTTATTCTTTTATCTTTATGTGTACGAAGTAAAAGTTACAAGAATAAAACATATTTACGAAGATAAGGATGATTTATGAAAATAATGATTTGCATAATATATGTACATGTACCGTTTTCTTTTTTTTTGTGCAAAGATAAAAGTTGCGTTTTTCCGTTTGTGACATATTTTTTTTGGGAAGCAAATACATTAATCACTTTAATGTAACAGTAATAGAAATATTTATTCGAAAAATAGGTATAAATTATAGGTATAAATAATTAAATTAGAAATCCTAACTTTTTTATTGCCCTTGTAGGCAGATGAGCATACGGCCCTTCTGATGGTGAGTGGTTACCGTTACCCATGGCCATCAGCAATGCCAGGGGCAGAGCCAAGCCGCTGGAAAACTACTATACTAACTACTTATAGAAAGCTTAGCACAGTTCTCACTTATTTAGAATCTGGTTATTTGTATGCTACAACTATGTAAGATATTACTGAAGGAAGATGAGACTTTTGTTTTAGCGGCACTATATGTAATTCAAGGGCGGTTTATGCATGTTTTTATTCTTTGGCTTCGGGCATGTGTCGCGACGGGGCTCAGTTGAGCGCCTTGTGGTGCAGGGCAGGTACAAGATCACCGTTACGAACGACCACAGATAACCCAGGGGTTATCTGTGCGAGGGACCGATTAAATAAAGGCAGCTCTAAACGGTCCCGTCAACGAGTAGTGCACAAGAAGGGCTGCAGCACGCCAGGAATGGCTACGTCTTGTGAAGCGCACCACCATCAGAAATAATGACCACGATCACTCTGCCAAGTGCAAACGGCTGAGAAGATTTTTTTTAAGCTTTTGCATAGCTTTTATCGTGGAGTTTGTGCGCGGCGACCGAATCAGAAAATACCATAACGAAAATAAAACCTAATACAATCACACGTTGTGCTTGTATAGTGTTTATGAATAAGCGCGCGGCGTGACGTGCAGTGCACGCGCATCATGAAAAGTCTACCCATCTCTCTCTCGCGCGGTCTAGCTTATGAGCGTGAAGGGGACAGTTAATGTTTTGCTTTTGTTAATGTTTAGAAATATAACGTGGTCTTATTTTATTATTGTTTTAATATTAAATTATTATTGTCTAATTATAATTGCACAAGTTGATAAAAATGCTATGCAATAGCTTTACCGCGGCAGTCCCCGAGTGCCACACGTGTTTTTTTAAATTTCTAAAGTAACATTTAGTTCAGAAATAATGGGTAATCTATATATTATTACGTGAAGCAAAAACTTTGTATCCCTACGAACGAAAATTGCGCTGACGGACGAGTATGAAATTTTCCACAGTTATAGAGAATATAGAGAAGAGTGCACAATGCTAATTTTTTTTTAAAATAGTGCATAAAAGATACATTAAATCAATAAAGAAAACATTACACACACTACATACCATGTATTTGACGCACACACGCATGCATACTATTTATTGTCAAACTTTTGTTCTTGGCGTCTGTTGTCAAATTGAGAATAGATTAAATATTGTTTGCCTTTGTTAATATTATTTTTTATAGTGTAGTCTTGGCGAAATTTGTGATTATAGAAGTATAAAATACAATCATAATAGTGTACAAACTTACAATTCCAATTAATTATAGTCGAATTTTGACTACTGCGGGACCTCTAGTTCTTAGTTATAACACATTATTATAAATCCCTATACTAAGCTAAAACGTATAATATATATTGGATGTTGGTTACAAGTTATTAGTTACTCTTGATTTGTGTTTACATATGTTGGACATGTAACACTGTTTATATACACGACCTCGCAGTATATTCGCCAGCATAAACGTTGGCAATAAGTTACTATGGCGTGGCGAGCGATAAATCACGTAGCGACGTAACGGTTCATGTATGGTATAAGTTACGAGCGGATCAAATGTTGCTTTAACAAACTTTTTGAATGGTAGGCATTGTAACGACCAGTGTTGTGGATTTACAGTTGAAACTGTTAAGTTAGTAGATGCATTTTATTTGTTGATTTGGGTTTTTTTTTTTTTTTGAGTTGTCCTATTTTTTGTTTTATCTACACAGTGTACTCTAATAATAAGTTTAAAAAATAATATCCTGAAAAGCACCCCACGCTTTTTTTACAATAAAATCATTTTTTCTTACACTAATTTTAATTCAAATTTATTAAAATTTATATTCTATTTTTTAGTTGGATTTTCTATAAAAGCGTATTTTGTTAGTTTTTTTCAACTATTATTTATTTTTAATTTTTTAGTTGAAATTCAATTCTTTCAATATATTTGTTTCAGTTTTTTATTTAATATTGAACTGTCATCGGTTCTTAATAAGTATACCAAATTTCGAGTTAATCCGACGTTTTGAAGGGGGTCAAAATTATGTTCAAAGATTCCGTTACAAACATACATACGTCTGAAGCTAATAAAAGCGTATTAAATACATGTCCTATGACTATGTTGTTTTTTACGCATAAACATGTGAGCGAGTTCATAGCCCACCTGGTGTTTAGTGGTTACCAGAGCTCGTAGACGAGAAGGCGAAACCTCAGTTACTTTGTATCAGGACTTTCCCACCTTTCGAATCGAAACGCGTTATTGCTTTGCAGCAATAATAGGCAGGGTGATATGTACCCGGGCACTCTCTTCCGCCGTACCACTGGCGCTGTACCATTTTTAATACACAAAAATAATATTTACCATACTATCAGAATCCATATGTATAACAACTTCCTCCTCAATTCCTTCCCAATTCTCCTCGCCAATATTTAATAACCCTCTTTCATTAGTTTAGTATGTATGTAACGGAAACTTTGATAAGTCATTTTTATCGACTTTGAAACGTTCGCTTAACTTGAAAATTTGCACACGCATCAAGGTCCGCGGATAATAATATGTATAATCATTTTAAAACTTCACTCTAATA